ATATTCCATTGTATAATCTGTACCACATCTTTATTCAATCATCTGTTGAGGGACACTTAGGTTGTTTCCATATCTTGGCAATTATAAATAATGATGCTATGAACCTTGGAGCGCATGTATCTTTTTGTAATTAGTGTTTTCATTCTTTTGGGTGTATATCCAGGAGTGGAATTGCAGGATCATATGGCAGTTGTGTTTTTAGGTTTTTTTGAGAAACCTCCATACTGTTCTCCACAGTGGCTGTCCCAATTTACATTCCCACCAACAAGGGTTCCCTTTTCTCCACACCCTCACCTTCCTTACCTTATAGGGGTCATGATGAGATCACAGGCACAGGGGCCTGGTACATCAGAGCTGATCTGGAAAGTGTGTGTTTTACCCTTGGCTTGGTTTCATTGGAGACATTGATTCAGATTCCTTCGAGCCTGATATACCGGGGTTCAGCACCCCTTGGGCTGCACAATGATAACAGCAAAATGCAGGAAAGCCATGCCACCAAGGGAAACTTCCAGCCTGTGCTGAATGGCTGTTCGCTTGCCTCCATGGATATTGTACATTTTCCATGGGGTATCGTGGGATGAAAAAAGCGCTTGAAGTTTGACCTGAACATGCTGTTCTTAGGGGCCCAGGGTTCTGGAAAGCAATGATAAAGCTACCTCTCCACTGGCATCTGTTACTCATCTGACTTCATCCCATTTCGTTCTCTGAATCACCCCATACAGTGGGCATGATCATTTCTGTTTTGTAGATGAATAAATGGAGGCTTACAAAGGTTAAGTGACTCGCTCAAGGTCACACAGCTAGTAACCAGTGCTGCTGGGGTCCAGGGCAGGACTAGAAAACCTTTGCTCTTACCCACTGTTACAGTCGCCTCCTGAACACCCTCTGCAGGGAGTTTGTCCCTTTTCTGGACTCCTAGTCCACACCCCATGTCTCCCCTTCTTGGCAGACCCCCAGTATCCAGGAGATTCTCATGTGTTGGTCCCTGAGATGCCATCTGAACTGTTCTCTGTCACCTGCCTTGAGGATGCCCCCGTCTAGATGCCCTTGTCTGTCTCACTGCTAACGAGCTTATCACAGCACTCCTGAAGCCCGGTGTGGTACCCAGCACATGACGAGAGCGCACTGCCAAGCACCCCTTCGTCTCCTTTCCCTCTGACCCTCCGACCCCAAAAGGGGAACCTCATCACAAAAAGTATGCCTTTTACAGAAGACTTGGATCAACATTCTCCAAAGAAGACATACAAATGACCAATAAGCACATGAAAAGATGCTCAACATCACTGCTCATTAGGGAAACACAAATCAAAACCACAATACGCCCTTTAGGACGTCTGCTATCAAAAAAAATTAAAACGGAGAGAGAGAGAGAAAATCACGAGCGCTGGTGAGGTTGGTGGAGAAATTGGAGCCCTTGTGCACTGCTGGCGGGAATGTAAAACGGTACAGCTATTATGGAAAACAGTCTGGTGGTTCCTCAAAACATTAAAAGTAGAACTACCAAGCAATCCAGCAATTCCACTTCTGGGTATATATACCCAGAAGAACTGAAAGCAGGGACTCAAAGAGGTATTTGTAAATGTATACATAACAGCCTCATTCACAACTGCTAAAAGATGGAAGGGACCCAAGATGAATGGACAAGCAAAAAGTAATGTATACATACTGAATACATATGAGTATTATCCAGCCTTAAAAGGGGAGGACATTCTGACTAATGTTCCAGCACGGATGAACCCTGAGGACATGATGCTGAGTGAAATATGCTAGTCACAAAAAGGCAACTGTTGCCTGATTCCACTTAGATGAGATACCTGGAGCAGTCAAAACCACAGAGGCAGAAAGCAGAATGGTAGTTCCCGGGGGCTGGCGGAGGAGGGAACAGAAAGGTGTTGTTTAAAGGGTACAGAGTTTCAGTTTTGCAAGATGAAGGAGTTCTGGAGATGCACGATGGTGAAGTTGCACAGCAATGCTGATGCACCCGGGATCACCAGACAGCACACTTCAAAGCGGCTAAGATGGTAAATTTTAGGTTGATGTGTTTTTTTTTGCCACAATAAAAAAAAAAGAAATTAAAAAAAATATGCCTCTGAGACCTGCAAGCCTTTATTCTTTGTTCTCTTTTAGGAGCCTTCGCTTATTTAAAACACCATTTGGACGATTAAAGGTTACACTGAATACATCTCATTTGTGAAGTCTTGTATCCCCTGAAGGCTGACGAGAGGAAAATGCCATCGTAGGATCATTTCATTATGTAACGCTTCACACAACACCCGGGAGGAAATGGCTCCAGGAGAAAGATAAAAATACTTCCTGAGATTTGAAAAAAACAAAAAACAAAAACAACCTAACAACTACTGCTGTCTCCTTTTTTCCCCATTACTTCAAATCCAGACAGGCAAAAGTGAGTAATTTAAAAAAAAAATGCGGGTGTGAAAGTGAATAACAACCAAGAAATATCAACATTAATAGCATGGCAGGCGAGCCGGCGTGCTGGATTCTGTCCCTCAAGTGCCCAAGATCCCAAATGACTTTCCCCACATAGTCTCGACTCTGTTTAGGCGTGCGAAGGTTGTTTTTAGTTTTCTCTCTCTTTTTCGTGCCAAAAAAAAAGATGAAAAACTCACTTGGCTTATAAACTGTCTTTCACCTTCCTTCTTCACTATGTGAATAGCCTTAGATGATACCCAGAGTCAGGCAAATGACCGGGGGAAATGTGAGAGGGTCAGAGACATATGGACATGGACACACACAGGTAAGCAGGTAGCTACGTGGATCTGAAAGATAAACAGAGAGAGAGACAGAGAAACAGACACACAGAGTGACAGAGGTATATTCTGCCGTGAGGATGCCCCTGAGAGCCTGGATCCCTGCAACACGGGCAGCTAGATAAATATTTTGTTTTTAAAAGGACAATATTCCTGGAGCATCCTTGAAATGTTTCCTAAATCTTTGGCTTTCATGTTGCTTCGTCTAATGTATTTCATTACAGACTCACAACAGTGATGTTGACATATTCAGAATGACTGGAAAGGACCCACTTTTGGAGAATGTGGTCCATGAGGACATGATTATTCTTGCTTCTGGGGCGTGTGTGTGGTGTGTGTGTGTGTCTACTAGGTATTGCTCACTGTAATAGATCCAGGAGGGTTACAAGCACAAATAAAACACTATTCCATCTTCCAGGAGCTAACAATCTAGTGAAGTGGAAGGGAGGCACATAAACAAGCAAACAGGTCATCATATTTCAGAAGTTGCTAACCCAGCTCCCAGAGGGACTGGGCGGGTTGCTGTACATAGATGAAATAACCCAAGTGAGATGACTTGCAAGCCAGAGCACACGTACCCCATCTGAAAGGGGGACCAGGCTCTCGGCGCCACCTGATCGTGCCGTGCAGTGAAGCAGCCCAGGGTGGCCAGATCTTCTGATTTTTCAAAGGCAGCCCATGGTAGACACTAACTAGTATATATAAAACAGAGACACACCAAGGTCCTGCTGTACAGCACAGGGAACTACATTCAATACCCAGTAACGGCCTATAATGAAAAAGAATAGGAAAAGGAATACATGTGTATAAAACTTAGTCACTGTGCTGCACACCAGAAATTAACACAACATTGCAAATCGACTATACTCCAATAAAAAGGCA